TTTTTTTTCTTAAGATGAATATTCATAAACGAATTTGAGTGCTCACCATACACGTTTTCAGAAATCCAAACTAACAATTCCAGTGGAAGATATGAGTTGTTTATTTTTGTTGAAGATGGGAAAGAGATTATCCCTTTTCTTTAGCCAAATACTTAACATAGATGATGCATATTAATATTATGCTACCCTGTTATGGACAGATAGGTAGAAGTGACAAGCGAACATAAAATGAGTAGCTCAAAATTATGATATATCACATGCCTCATCTCAAAACGAGTTACTCAGAAAAATACAACGGATTTACAACAGGCTACTGCTATTCACAACTAACTCTGAGTCTCAGAAAACACGAGCCTCAGCACTGGTGGTACACCGAAAAACTCTTGTTCTTGCGCCAGAAACTAAAGGCTTTACCCACTTTACGCCTGGACACGGACTTTGACAGCGGCCTCTGATCCTCCACCACAACAAGGTTGCAGGTCTCAGGTGGGTCCTGCTGCCTCTGCTCCCTGAACAGCATCAGAAGCTTCTGTGCCTTTTGCTTCCCTCTCATGGTCCCATTAACAGAGATGGACACCAGAGAGGGTATCACCCCTTCCTGGAGCACCATCTCACTGCACTTGTCGTCCGAATTGCACAGTGTCAAAAGGCAGGCCGCCGCCTGCTCTTGCTCCATGGGCTCCCCCACGTCCAGCACGTTCGCCAGAGCCCTTATCAGGCGAGGAGCCCCCGTGATCTCGTCCCGCGCGCTTTTACTCGAGCTCAAGTAGATTAGGACGGAAATACACTTCTCTCTCCATTTCTCTTCAGTAATCACAGTCCCGAGGGCGTCAATGATGCCAGCCGACAGGAGGTGAGGAATACTAGCCGGCTCACTAGATATGTTGTATAGGGTGTGGAGGGCATCCAGCTTGCACTGCTCGTTGCTTTCATTCTTGAGGACCCAAATTAGGAAAGGGACGGCTTCGCTATTCCCAATCATCGACTTGGCCTCGTCCAGACACGACAGGTTTAGGTAAAGGGCCGTTGCTGCTCCTAATGAATCGCTCATTTTGTGCAGTATCGGGAGCACACCCAAGGCCAGCATCAATTCTTTGTTTCTGGAAAATTCTTGTCAATTTATTGCTCACATCTTCAAAATATTATATTTAATGTGTGCATGCGTGCGTGCGTACCTGTTGTTGTTTACAGCGATGTTGAAAAGAGCCATGGCCCCACACTCCTGGGCCGTTCTGTTCCCGACACAGACAGCAGATTCCAGAAACTTCAGCAGCGCCTCCACAAAGCCATTGGTCCCAGCATAAATCCTCGCTTCCTCATCATCCTTCAGCAACTGTCTTATGTTCTCTACCACTTTGCATTTCCTCATCAGATCTTCCTCCTTCTCCAAAACCACCAACAACTTGTCAAATCCTTCACAAGGTTCATCATCCTCCGCTCCAGAAACACAGCATGCTTCCTCGATGATGCCACTATCATCCAAGGGGACCACCTTGATGCTCTCGACCTTACGCGACTTTGAGTTGGCCGAGTCGCTTTCCGAGAGGACCAGTCTCCAGTAGTTGAGGTCGAGCGACTCGGGAGGGCCATCCGGGATGGGGACCCCATTCTGCTCGCACCACCCACCCACCAGGCCCTTCACGCAGTAGTTCGGGGTGAGGGAGAGGTGAGGGAGCTGCTGCTGGGTCTTGGGGCAGGTGTCATGCCCGTCCAGGAACCACTTCTCAATGCAGATTCTCTCATACGTCTGCCCGGAGGCTATGATCACCGGGTCGTACATGAGCTGCATCGATATCGGGCACCTCAGCTCCTCGGGAGGGACCGGCATTTGCATTTGCCCGGACCTTCTGAGGTTGGGCTTGAAGTTGAAGGAGCTAAGCTTGGACAGTTGGCGGTCGAAAAAAAGGCAGCCGCCATTGAGCTGCACGGTGGGCGAGCACGGCGTCGAACCCTGGGAGTCATTGTCATCCGAGTACTCGCTCCTAAACAGCTTCGAGTACTTGTTGATAAGGTGGAGAAGGTAGGCCACGATCGACTCCTTACGCTTGTCCTCCTCCGCCCGGGCCCGGTCCACGAGCTTCTTCAGGGCCCTCCTCTCCCTGAGGGCAGCCCTCGAGGAGGTAATTCCAATCTTGCAGGCCGCCTGGTGGAAGCACTCCAGCTCATTGTTATTGTCATTCAAGCTGGTGCTCAAGTTTCCCCCTTGCTGAAGGAGGGTGATGATCTCATCCCCAATTTGCTTCTCGGCCGGATCTAGTAAGAACTCTAAAGTCCCAAGCTCAACTAGGATCTCCGCAATCTGGAGAGGAAGAGAGAGATTGCTGAGATTAGAATTTTCTTTCAAAAACAGAAACCAAGGTAATTGGACTTTAGATTAATACTTCTTTTACACACACATCACAGGAACAATGGGAATATAATTTATCAGATTCATTTGTCATTAAACTCCTCTACAGAATGGTCACTTCCCCAGAAAAGATAGATTACAAGAAGAATGACTAGTTTATTTAGGATTTAGCTCAATAAATTCGTCTCATTAACTAAATTTAAGCCGAAAGCTCTTCTTCCATCCAGTCTTTTTCTTTTTTTTTTTAAAAAAAGTTGAAAATCTGGATCCTTTGTCGATTTATAACTTTTCTAGAAAACGGACCATAAAGAAGAGACTTGCTCAACCAAAATTAAAGAAAGCACAACTCAAGTACCTGAATACCGATAGCCTGTGGAACAATATCTTCAACACGCATCAAACCATCTTGCAGGGCACATCTGGCCTTCTCAAATTTCAGAACAACAGAATCTCCAGTTATTGCCTGATGACATAGAAAGTAATAAAATATGATGACATAAATGCAAAAAAAAGGAAGAAAATTGCATAATCTCCTGTGCCAGAACTTGTATTAGTAGCATTTCATACCAAGTAAAGTTTACTGCATTCGGCACAATGTTGGAGAATATTCTTGGTCTTCTCAAGTGCAATGTGCAGGGCACATAGAGCCTGAATGCCGGACGTGCTCCTGGGTCTAGCTGCTTCAAGCTCAGGAAATATGCCCAACACTTTCACATACACTCCACATAGACTCTTGCACATCTCACCATGTAACTGCACCGAGACCCATATATTGTCATTCAAATAACAACAAAACGAATCAACACGAAAGGTGTAATATGGATTTATTGGCAGACGCATCAGAAATGTAGCACATGGAGGATTTGAATCACCTTTGGGTCACCAATGGAGAGCAAACTTTCTTCAACCTCAGAAGTCTCCATGTTCGGGGAGTGAAAATGAACTAAATTAGCAACCAATGTTTGCGGAGAACCTGTGGCATATGGTCAAAAGTTGAAATTATTACTATATAAAAAGGATATAATTACACAAACAAAGAAAATTAAGTTAACCGAGCCCAAAAGAACAATCAAGTCATTTCGGTGCAAAGTAAATGAATGATGATCCATCTTATTATTATTATTATTCAAAGGTCACATCAAAATTTACAGAAAGAACTCCATTAATGACCAACAATGATTTGCCAAACAGCCTGCCTTGTACACAGAACCAAATGATTTGAAAATTCCATTTTCACAACAAAGAATAAAGAGGATTCCAACACAAAGGTATGCATCCACATTGCACTATTTCAATCTAAAAAAAAAAAAATGCAGAAAACCAGAGATGGAAGCATCAATCGAGAGAGACGCTTAAACGTATCAAACACATTTCGCTAGCTATCAACTGGATAATTTTCTAATTTTCATTTTTTTTTAATCTCGTGGAAAAACAAATGGAATGTGGCATCAGCTGCAGCCCAATCAATAACCAGAAAAAAAAAATAATAAAAAAAAAAAATTGAGAATTAAGAGATATGACAAAACCGCCGGAAAAGCTGCCGGAAAGACTCATATATGAATCAATACGGTTTAAGCTGCCGGAAAACTCATACAGAATCAATCGGAAGTGATCTCTTGAATGTTCATCAAACGCAGAAAGAAATATGTTGGCTGCTTTCAAATCCCTTGAGAAAAAAGTCTTTCTTATTCAGATCAACAGATTTTAGAGAGAAGAAACGAGACAAAAGGCAAGAGAATGAATGAATTGAAGAGAGGTGTGTGTGGGAATATTAGAAATAGTATTCTATTTG